CCCCACCAGGTTATATTTCATAATGTATCTATAGTTATAGGTTTTAATAGTATGGGGCATAAATTGCATCCTAATTTATATAACTTGCACAGGAAAATACTATCTTGTTGATGCGGCGTACGTGAATTTTTATTGTTTTCTAGCTCCCTACAGAGGTGAGACTTACCATTTGCCTGATTATAGAAGGAGAAGTGGTGGATTTCAGGGAGGTAGAGATATTTTTAACTACAAACACTCGTCACTACGTAATTGTATAGAGCGAACATTCGGGGTTTGGAAGGCTAGGTTTCCTATCCTAAGGCGGCCCAATAATACGTATCCAATGGATAAACAAGAGAAGATTCCTGTTGCTTGTGCAATACTGCACAATTTCATTCACATGTTTAATAAGAGGGACCCCCTTCTAAATCAATACTACTGTGATGGTGTACCGGTTAGTGAAATCAATCCGAACAATGATGATGAATTTGATGACGATGACACTGATGGTAATATCCCTGAAGGGCCAGTTGTAACGGGAGGTAGTGTTAGTCGTACAGAGATGGATCGTTTTAAGGATCGCCTTGTGAATGAAATGTGGGTGGAACACCTGGGAAGCCGTGGGAGACAAGTTTGATATACGATTGACCATCCCACAACTAACATCAGAAAGAAGGAAGGTAATTTCTCTTACTTTAGAGATCTTTCACCTCTGCATATAATTACGTATGAGATGTTTTATCAGTAAAGCACTTAAAAGATGCTGCTAAAGAATCCAACTAGTGTATTTTCTATACTTGCAATGCAGGAATTGTCAAAAGTTGTGGCGAAACAAACTGAAGAAGGAAAGGTACATTGGCTTTTTTTGGATGGTTTCAGAAACTCCTCTATTTTAAGTTGTTGTATTTTCTATACTTAATGAGATCCAGTAGGATGCGTCAAGCGGAAGACATACCTCTCATGTCATAGTGGTACAAAGAGCATTGGTAAGAGTTTTTCTTGGTTTTTGTTTTTGTTTTCTTCTCTATCTTTTCTGAAATGAAATTTACATAGACTGCTAAGCTTGATTTGAAATTTTTTACTAC